GGACCGCAGGGCTTCAGGACAGCGGTGCCTGGCCCACAGGACATACCTGGATGTAGTAGTACAGGGATTTGCCGTACTTTCTCTTGAATTCAGATCTGATTTTCAACATGTCCACTTCACTGCGGGAGACCATGGTCCTAATCAGGACTTTATCACGGGTCCCCTTGCCCTGCAAGTCAAGTTGATGTTCCAAATTACAACCCACAGAATAAAAGAACCGGCCTGTGTTTTCTGGCATAATGGCCCTGTTCTAGTTGCTCTGTGTGGCCTTCCAAGAGATTGCAAAGATTACACTGAAACCGTTGCCTTAAGAAATATGAGCACATTAGAATCCCAAGCACACAAAGATTAAACACGCACAATAACGCATTCTGTAAACACACAGTGAGCGTCTACTGCTGCCAGGTTCCATTCAAGGGTGTTCTTTCTCAGGGAGCTCTGTCCCACGCGCTGGCTGCGTGGGAGCCTCACGGTTCTCCTGACTCTAAGAGCTAACAGAAGACATATGCCAGCACAGTTTTTCTCGGGGTGCTCTGCCACTCTGGGGGAGTCCTGAGGCGGGTGGTGGTCACAAGTTGGGCTCCTAACCCAAAGGTCAGCAGTTCTAAACGACCTGCTACTCTGCGGAAGAAAGAGTTACAGTCTCGGAAACCCACAGGGGTGGTGCTGCCCTGCCCCAAGGGTCCCAGTGAGTGAACATTGACTCAATGGCAGTGAGTGGGAGTTTGGGCTTGGTTGCCACTTTGAGTAGCAAGAGCAGAAAGGACTTCTGGGTTTACTGCCTGAGCCACAGACTAAGGGTCCCAAGGAAAGGGTCCTATTTGGCATGGAGTCTAAGGAGAGATGGGAGAGAGGCCGTTAGAGAAAAGAATTTGTTCAAGGAAGCAGCCAAGGCATGGAAGGCAGCAGACAGAAGTCTGTTTGAGGAGTGGGACATTGGATGGGTTTGTGCGAAGATACAGCTCTTTCCAAGGGTGGCAAGTCAAGACATTTCAACTTGGCTTTGAATAACAGGTCAAGGGATTTAAACCTTGGCAGGCTGAGCAGTAGGACTGATGTTGGAGTTGGAGAGACCTAGCTTCAAATCTGGTTATCGAATCTCAAGCAAGCTGGGGGTTTCTGCACACCAGCCGCTTCACCTATAAAGGGGGAGGCAATATCAGCCTGTTAGGTCTTGGACGATGGGACCCCCCTCATGTAAAGTAAGTAGCACAAAGTCTACTGCCGGCTCTTGCTGCCAAGTCCATTTTGACTCATAGCAACCCCGTGCGACAGAGTGGAACTGCTCTCTAACATTTTCTTGGCTAGAATCCTTGAGAGAGCCATCACTATGCCTCTCCCCTGCAGAACCACCCAGTCTGCTT